CTTATGACCTACCTTAATCCATCCCAGTCTCTAGAAGGAGGATGGAGTGGGTAATGGGGAAAGTTGTCTAGACAAGAAGGTGCCTGGTCTGGGGGGAGTGCTGTGTAAAGTCAGAGACCCAGGGGAAGTTACCTGTGACTCAGCATGGTGCTTTCCCTTTGAGAGTAATTCCTTGCTTGACATCTGCTAAAGAAAACAGCACACTAAGGAAGAATGTATTCACAGAGAAAAGTTTGGGAAGCAAAGATACATACTGGGGTAGAGGGATTGGTCTGAATTCCAAACAGACTGGGAAGGTGGGGACTTATAGACAGGGAGTACTGTATGGTGGGGGGTGAAACAACTCGGAGGAAAAGAGTTGCATGTGTGTGGGTTGGGCTGTCCTGGAGAAAACAGGTTTAGTGGTGCAGGAAGACCAAGTCATCACCGGAGGACTGTGACAAGACAAGGAAGCGGACCAGCATCTGGTATATGGGATTCTGGCTACATGGATTCATGTACACTCATACACATAAAAAAAACTCATCCCCCCCCCCAAATGAATAGCCAAGAGTTTTAGGGGCAGGTGAGAGTCACCATGTGTCTGTCTCTTAGAGCTGCAGAGAGAGGAGAAGGATACTCCACTGGGGTCCCAGGATCTGTGCTTCTCCAGATGCAAGTGAAACCTCTTCCCCTCATTCTCTCACCTTCTCTGGGAATGGCTGCAAGGAAAAATGTTACCAAGGTGTGAGTGAGTCCCCAAAGTTTTATAACAGCCGTTGGTGACACAAATTGCTACAGAGGAAAAAAAGTCACCCCTGGGAAACTTATCTAAGAATATATCATGAGATGGGTTATTTTGGGACTGAAATTACACAGGAGGGCCTAGGAAAATAGACATGCACAGGGCTGAACACAGCTACAATTAATGTTAACTATAAGGTGTCATATCTTTACAAAATGCAGAAAGCACAGCCCACAGCAAGTGCTGTGGAGGGCGAGAGGAAGGCAAAGCAGAGCCAAGCATCCAGGCAGGAGGGGGCTCATCCTCCAGCAGGAAGGGGCTTGTTAGGGATGCACAGTTCTCAGAAGACAGCAGTCACCTTGGGCAAGGTGACCTGAGGAGTTGGGAATGCAACCAGGGCAGATCCCACCTAACTCAGGGAAACTCAGACCCAGAACTAGAGAGACCAAGAGAGTGTGAGGGGTTTTCCCAGGGTGTCGCTGGGCTAGAGGTACCTAAGTTATACAACTTAATCTATAGGTACCTAAAGGATATCGGGGTATTTGTTTGTTTTATTTTTCTATGCAGTAATCTGCAGTGTTTAGCTATAGGGTAGGATGGAAGGTCTGCGGGTGAGGCCATAGGAAGAAGTGTCCCAACATTTCTAGTTGGTAGCAATGACCTTAAAGGGAACATCTCATTCCTAAAAATCAGAGGAGGGGACTGGGGGGTAAGGTGTTGTTGTTTTAGTTTTTTGAAACAGTGTTTTCTGTGTAGCCTTGGCTATCCTGGAACTCACTCTGTAGACCACTCTGGCCTCAGACTCAGAGATCCTCCTTCCTCTGCCTCCGGGTGATGGGACTAAAGTGTCACCACCACCTGGCTAGGAGTCTCAGTTTATTCACCACAGCATCTCATAGCAATCCCTTCCAGAACTGACTTTAATAGATTCATGGAGAATAGATCAAATGCAATTACATAATTGTACATTCTGCCTCCCTACCCACAGCCTCTCTGCCACTATGTCCCCTTATGGCCCTGCCTTATGAAGTCCAGTTCTGGGGTTAGAACTTGGGGCCTCTCAAATGCTGGGCAAGTGGTCTACCCCTGAGCTACAGTTACAGCTGTGAATATTTGACATCCATCTGAACTACATACAGGAGGCACCAGAGAAGCCACCTATGATGTCCCATTCATCTTTCCTATTCCCAGAGAGCATGTTGTCTGATACTTATTAACCTCTTTAAAGTGTAAACTGAATACATAAGTCTTTGGTATGTAAAGTGAGTGTTACTAAATAACCAGTGTGTTTCCCGTCAGCTGTAGGAAGACCTTTTCCCAATATGAACTGTTTCTAAAAGATTCTACTCTGCTTCTAACCTTCTGTCCAATCCCAAGTCCTGTCCCATAATATTTGTGCCCCCTGAGGTGGTGGGGGTGTGCATGTTTTAATCATTCTACCTCAATGTAAGTACCAGGTGAGCTTGGTTTGACTCATAGCCCCTTCCTTGTTCTAGGTGGAATAGGGCTTGATGAGCAGTAAGGCTCAACAAAGGGCAATAAGTGTCTGAATGGCTTCTAACTCTAAGCACAAAGCTAAGCCCTTAGCGAGTTTCTATTGAGTGGTTAAATCTCCAAACAAGGCAAACACTTCCTCTTTCTACTGTCATTTTCTTATATCTTCAACTAGGGCAGTATGGCAACCTGAGGAGGTGGGCAGGCTTTGAAGTCAAGCAGTCTGGGTTTGAATTCTGACCCTTTCCCTTACTAGGTGGATGGTCTGGAGTGAGTTCTAAACCTCTGTGTGTTTTGTTAATTCACATGGAAAATGAGGATAGGGATTTTTCCAATAGGATTTGCAGTTCATTTGAGGTAAACATCGAATGCTTAGCATGGGGCATAGCAATTGCTGCTATATTGCTATAACCCTATCAGTCTCAACCCTCAGTGGCCCCGCTGTAGCCAAGTCCCAGACAGATAGGTGGCTTACCTGTAACCCAATCAATCTGGAGGCTGAGTCAGGAGGATCTTGGGTTCAAGGCCAGCGAGGACCACTTAGCAAATCTCTGTCTCAAATGAATGAGTGAATGAATGAATCAAGCAAGCAAGCAAGCTGAGGTCTCCACTCCCAGGAACGTACTTCCTCCATCAAGGCTCTTTGTGTGGCTCGAGTGAGATGCCCCCCAAAGTCTTGGTCATTTGAAGACTTGATCCTTAGTTGATGGGTGCTGTTTGTGGAGGCTTAGGAGGTGTGGCCTTGCTGGAGGAATGCGGGCAGGCTTTGAAAGTTTGAAGACTGCCACCATTTCTAGCCTGCTTTCTGTTTCATGTTTTCAGTTAAAAAATGTAAGCCCTCAGCTTCCTGCTCCTGTTGCTACGCCTTTGCTCTGCCATCATGAGCACTAACGCTCTGGAACCGTAAGCTCAAATAAACTCTTCTACAAGTTGTCCTAGTCATAGTAGTTTTTTATCACAGCAACAGGAAAGAAACAATGTATCATACCTCCTAAAGGTTCCATAACCTCCCAAAACAGTGCCACCAGTTGAGGACCAAGTGTTTGAATACACACATACAGAGGATATTTCTCATCCAAACAATCATGGAAGTCCAAGATTTGTCTTCAATCCATAGCAATCTTCCTGCCTCAGCCTCCCAAGTGCTGAGGACACAGACATGAGCCACCATGCCCAGATCCCTAGTTCATTCTCTTAGGAAATACACACTGAGCATGGCATGGTGGCATATGCATATAATTTGAGTATTTGGGAGGTGAAGGCAGGAGGATCAGGAATCTACTTACAATGCATTTGAGGCCCTGGGCTATCTGAGACTCTGTCTCAAAAAAAAAAAAAAAGTGAGGGGCTGGAGAGACAGCTCAGTGGTTAAGATGACTGCTTTTCCAGAGGACCCAGGTTCAATTCCCAGAACCCACATGGCAGCTCACAACTGTCTGTAACTCCAATTCCAGGGGATCTGACACCCTCGCATGGAGGTGCCTGCAGGCAAAACACCAAGGCACATAAATAAAATAAAATGCTGAGTGTGAATTGTGCCAGATGCTTAGTAAGCACTGAGTAAATGTTTATTGAATCAATTTCTTCTTCAAGCATATGACCACTTTGTTGTGTTAGTGCTTTGCTTTTTGAACAAGGTCTTACTACATTGCCCAGGCTGACTGCTAACTCACCACCCTCCCACCTCAACTTCTCTGGTGATGGGGTGACAGGTGTGTGGCACCACACCCGGCTTGACTGCATTTATTAAAGAACATTTGGCATACTCATGCCCTTGTTCAGCCGCATTGTCCTTGACTGTTTGTCCCTCCCTGCTTCAAGCTCCTCCATATTCCCTAAGCAGAGGGTCTAGCATCTCACAGAGCCTAGCAGAGCAAACAAATGCTGCCCCAGCTAAAAGTAGACTGTGCCTATAGTACTTTCAGAGTGGGGTGCTACAAGGAGTAAAGTCTTCTGATTCTCAGGAGAAGAACAGGTGGGGTGACAGCCATCTTTGCTGCTCACTATCCCTGACCTTTGGGCTGACCTATGATGCCAGCAGTGACTCTGCAATCTTTTTAATTAAAAAATATTTTACATATAGGTGTTTTGCCTTCATTTATGCCTGTGCACTGCATGCATACCTGGTGCCTGCAGAAGAGGGTGTCAGATACCCTGGGACTGGAGTTATTGACAGTTGTGTGCACCAGGTGGGTGCTGGAAATTAAACCCAGGTCCTCTGGAAGAGCAACCAGTGCTCTTAACCATCTCCCCAGCCCTTGCAGACAATCTAATCACTCATTTTTTTTCCAGACTGTCAGTGGAGTGTAGCTCAATGAAAGAGCCTCTGGCTAGCTTGCCAAAGAGCTGAGTTTTATCCCAAGCACAGAGGAGAGGAGGAGGAAGTGAGGGAGAGAGAGAGAGAGAGAGAGAGAGAGAGAGAGAGAGAGAGAGAGAGAGAGAGAGAGAGAGAGAGAGAGAGAGAGATGGAGGGAGAGCGAGAGAGCCCTAGAAGTGGCTGCTGACCCCTTCACGCACACCCCAGGTTAAAACCAGGTCCTCAATAACCGGCATCCCTTCACAAGCACAGAAAGCAAAAGAGACCACGTGTAGGGAAAGGACCTTTTAGACTGCAGAGAGCCTAGTCGTTCCCCAGCTTAGCCTCCCTTTTCTCGGGAGATATAGAAAAGCATTTATTTCTAGGCCTCAATTTCCTCGTTTGTGAAATGAGGGGGTTGGACTCATTTCTAAAGCTCCTTCCAGCTCCGAGACGCTGTGCTACAAAATGAGAGAAATGTGAACCTTTGGTTGCTATGATCTGAAAATATTTTGAGTGTGGAGAATCAAAATTGTACAGCAGCACACGAACAAAATAATATGTTAATGACTAAGAAGATTGTATTTAATCCAATAGGAAACAGTAGAGCCTGTGGCGGTGGTGTGCACGCGTGTGTCTGTGCTCAGCTTCCTTCCCTGAGCTCAAACATATACTTTGAATCGCTAATATAGTAATCAGGCCTCTGGCAGCCTATCGGGCCCAAACACACGCACACACCACTTCAAATTAAAATGAGGGGCAAATGCACTGCTGCCTGCTTACATCGTTTGTTTGGGTGGTTCTTTTAGAAGAAAAATTTTGTAGTGATGGTGTTGAGCTGACAGCCCCTGGAGGCCTCTGGTCTCAGAACTGGGACGCGTGGGCGGCGAAACTAGGGATTTCATTAGCATCTTTACTTTCCCGCACCAACTGCCCATTACACGGTTCGACACAATTTCCCTCTGAAGGTCGGAGGGGTCAGATTGCTAAAGCCCCGCAGGCACCAGGGCCAGAACATGCTCTCTGGGCCCTGCCTGCGGGAAGGTGAGCCTGGACCCGCGGGGCCGAGTCCGGAGGGTGCTGGATGTATAAAGGGTCAAGTCGCCGACCTTTCTTGCACCTAGGGGTCGCAGCTGGAAGGCGGGCGTGGCTCAAAGGTCGCATGTGGCTCTGACTACAGCCCGGCTCCGAGTTCACTTCCACTCCGGGGCTCGGTGCCCCAGCCGGGCTAGGCAGGCCAGAGTCGTCGCACGGTGGCGTCGGTGGGGCTGCCCCGAGGTCCCGGCAAACCAAGCAGAGGCGGCGGGTCTTCTCCGCCCGACGGCCGCGCCTGCACCGGGGCCCGAGCGGATTGGCCGGCTAGCGATCGCTGGGCGGGCCGAGGCGGACCTCGCGGCCAGGTGAGGCGCCCCGCCCCTCGACCGCTCCAGGTGCAGAGGTGGGGACGGCAGGGTCCAAGCCCCGGGTCCCCTGACAGGGCTGGGGCACCATGGCCGAGTCCCAGCTCAGCTGCCTAGACGAGGCGCACGTAAACGAGAGGGTGACCGAGGCGCAGGCCGCCTTCTACTACTGCGAGCGGCGGCGGGCCGCGCTGGAAGCGCTGCTGGGTGGAGGCGAGCAGGCCTACCGCGAGCAGGTCAAGAAGGAGCGGCTGCGGGACTTCCTCTCCAGCCAGGAGCGCCTGGCCCTCCGCGCCTCCTGGAGCCCCTACGAGGAGGCCGTCTCCAACGCTGGAAGCAAAACCAAGGCCAAAGCCCCAGCTGAGCCCAACGAGTCCCTGGCCTATTGGCCAGACCGCTCGGACACCGAAGTGCCCCCGCTGGACCTGGGGTGGACGGACTCCGGCTTCTACCGCGGTGTAAGCCGTGTCACGCTCTTCACCCACCCTCCCAAGGAAGAGACGGCGCCGCACCTGAAGCAGGTGGTCAGACAGATGATCCAGCAGGCCCAGAAGGTAGGCCTTGGCCCTAATCCTGCACCAGTGGAACCCTCCCACTCCCCACCCCCCCACCCCCACCTGGTCTCACTTCCCGGGCCACTCTTACCATCCTCTGGGAAATGGTCCCCAGCTCACCCTCACCTCGTGGAGCTGTGGTGAGAGACCTTTGGAAGATGGATATGGACGTTTGTTGCAAATCACAAAGCACTGGACGATGTTAGTCATTCTCATCCTGTGTCCGGAGGCACCGGCGTTTTGTTCGTACGCCTCCGTCACATCTTTCTCTCTTGGGCAGTGTGGTGGTTGCAAGTCCCTGGGCTAAACTGGTCTCTGAAAGGGCTTGATCATGACCTGTGCCCAGGGATTTATTTACAAGGTGTGTCCTTGGCCATTTCCCTATTTGATCTTACCAACCTCACAAAGTGGGTGTTTGGTGGTGACCTCCCTTAACCTCCACGCCAGGTGAACTTTTCTTGGAAGCTCCTCTCCCCACAACGACCCCATTCTTAACATTCATGCCCTTTCCTGGGCTTGGTACTAGAGCCCAGGCAGGATCCAATGGATGAGAGATGCTATTTTGAGCTCTAGCTGTCGCTTGGCCCAGTGCTCGGCGCTCCCACAAGGCAGACACTGGACTCAGGTGCGCAGGAAGAGGCTCCCATTTAGCCCATTTGCTCAGCCTGGGTGTTAAGATGTTTCCAAGGAGCCTGGTTAGCATTCCAGTTGGACGGCTGGCTGTGGGGTAGGTGAAAGACTAGTCTTTTCCTCTGGTGATTTCCAGATAAAATGTGGGCTATCGCATTAAATCTGAACTTCAGTTAGTTCTACAGTATCAATTTATCCCAAATACTGCATGGGATACATTGATGCTGAAAGTGACCTTTTGTTTACCTGAATTCAGATTTAATGGGACAGCCTAATATTTTTTTACTTGCCAAACACTGAGAGGTGATACACTTTTATCATGTGCTTATTGTGTTTGGGTTATCCTGGCACATAGGAATGTCCTGGCCCATAGGGGAGTTGGTTCTCTCCTTCTACCATGTGGGTTCTAGAAGTTGGATTCAGATAGCCAGGCTTGGTGGCAAGCCCTTTCGCCCATGAGCCCGGCTAGTCAGCCCTCCCATGGGATTTATTAGCCACACCAACAGTCTCAGTGTCCAGAGGCTTGGGTTCGCTGTCCCATTTAACTTGGTAAGTGTATTTAGAGGCACTTTTTTCCTGAAGGCCAAACAGGACCAAAGATGCTAGAAGAGCAGCAGTGAGAGGCTCTTCTCTCTGAGCGCTGTGGCCTAGGCTGTGGCCTAGGCGAGTTGCTGGAGAAGTAGGTAACTCTTCACTGCCCAGACGTCCACCTTCCTTCTAGAATAATTGTTTCTTGTCTAACCAGGCTTTCTTTGTGTACTACACTCAACTGAAGAAAAAGGCAAGGCTGGATGCAAAAAAAAAAAAAAAAAAGCGGAAAAGGAAGTGGGTGGCAGTAATGGGCAGCAGACTGTAGCCGGGGTCAAGGGTCAGGACTCATGATGTCATATTCTGTAATATTCCCTAAACCTCGATTTACTTAGTGCTTATGACATGTGACCCACTCTGTTAGTGACTTTCTTATTTGCTGGAAATTTTTACATTTATTATTTGTGTGTGTGTGTGTGTGTGTGTGTGTGTGTGAGAGAGAGAGAGAGAGAGAGAGAGAGAGAGAGAATAAATTGCAAAAATTTGTCTCTCCTTCCTCTCTGTGGGAGGTTAGTTGTAGGTTTGGAATGGCAGAGAGAAAAAAAAAAACCTAGAATGGGCAGTCTCTTAGTTAGAGACTACTGAGCAGAAAGTGAGAGGTGTCTATTGCTCCAAATGCAAAGAAGTTTGAGTGTTGGGAGCTGAGGACTCTGAGGCTTAGTAGGCTTGTGCACAGCACCTTGTTTCACAGTAAGGAAACTGAGGCACAGAGCAAGGGTAGCACTTAGGTTGTCAGATGTGGCAGCAAACACCTTTTCCTCCTAAGCCGTCTCATGCGTTAGCCCCCTGTTTTTCATGACCCCCAGGTGAGACAGATGTTTTCTTTATCTTTGGAGAAAAAGGAACCAAGATGCAGGACCATTAAGATACTTGCCTAACTTAGTAAATGGCTGAGCTGGAATCCATACACCAAAGCCCTTGCTCTGAACCAGTGTGCCTCTCTGATGTCCTTTGTCATGGTGTGGTGGGGTGCTGCAAGGGACTTGAATGGGTCTAATATGGTGACAAGTTATGGTATTCCTCATGTACCCTTGTAAGAAGAAGGCAGAGGTGAAGCCCTCCCTGCTCCACTGCAACTTCTATGACAGGTCTGTCCAGTGTTGTGGGGTTTCCTTTACTCCTAGAATAAATACTCGGCAGAATCTTTCACGGTTGCAGACTGCGCTGGTACTTATGTCCAGGACGTCTGCTGTGTGCCAGGCACTAGCCATAAAGATCCAAGCTGTGGACTTTGCCCTTCCAGCGTTTGCTTAAATGCCCAGGCTGTGCTAGAAGGGAAAAAAAAGGAGATTTGAGGCTGTACTTGGAAGGCTCCTGGGGGAAGTGGGTCCAAGGCTTGGAGGGGGATAGTGATGGGCAGTCTCTCAGAGACTACTGAGCCGGAAGTGAGAGGTTACTTTTGCTTTAATGCAAAGAAGTTTGATTGGATGGGGCTGAGTAGTCTGTGAGGCTTGGTAGGGCTTGAGGCTTGGTGTCTGCAGCACCCTATTTTACAGGTAAGGAAACTGAGGCACAGAACAAAAAAGTTTGCCTAAAGGTCACTTGTGAGGTTATAGAAAGACCAAGATCTCTACTGTATACTCGAGATACAGCATGTCCTGGCCAATGCCTGGCCCTGCCTCTTGCTCATCCAGCTGGCGAGCATATTTACTTGGCAATCAGATGAGATCCTCCTCCCTGTTCACCCTGAAGGAGGGAGTTTCCCATGTTTCCAGGGAGTGTCTGGCTGCCTTGAGGCTGGGTTAGACTGCAGAGATCCCATGGCCTTGGAGGGAAGGCAATCCACCTGGATGCCAGGGATTTGGGGTTTTATTTCTTTAATCCTCAGAATAATCTTATAAGATGCTATTGTTTTTGTTTCTGAAAGACAAATAGGAACAAGGGAGCTGCTGTGACTTGGCTATGCAAGGGATTCTTCTGTTCCATATCTGATCTTCAGGGAAAGAGAAGGAGCCTAATTAGGGGATGCTTTGTAAACACAATTTTGACTTGGGGAGGAAAGCCCAGGTGTGGAAACCAATGAGGACATGGGTCAGTATGGAGGTGGTCCTTGGTCATGGGAAAAAAAGTCTCTGAGGAGTTAGGTTCAAGTAGCTGCTTTGTAAACCTCTACAAATGGCAGAAAAGCCTTCCCAAGCTATGCTGGCACCCAACATTCAAAGATCCAGCTGTGTTTACTTGTGGGGTGGGGTTTTCTGTTATTGTTTTTCCACCTCGACAGATCTGCTTATTTTAATGTAGTTAGTGATTTCCTTTGTCTATTGAACTCCCAGCCTTTTAGAAACCATGGCCTGTGCCACGCTAACAAGAAAGACCAGGGCAAGATGCTGCTGCTCAGACCTTTAGAACCACCAGGGAGTATCTGACAGCAAGAACTCTTAGAAAACTGAGAAGCCAGAGTAAGAGGAAGAAGCAACCTTAGTCCCACTGGGCTTGCATCGTTCTGGTCATAGAGGTCTCCTGCGTGCTAAGCGTGCATTAGTGGAAAAGAGATGGCTGAGACACACCCCCACTCTTCAGTAGCCTAATAGTCTGCTAATCCATCCTTATAATTCCCTGTGACAAATGCAGGAGAGACACTAGTCCCACCCATAAGCCAGGTTAGGGAAGACTCTTTGAAGCTGTCTGAACACCTGACCTAGCAAGAAGAGTGAGAAGGTACCAAGCCTCTGCCTGTCCTTTTGACCAGTGACATCCATTTGACTCATGACCCAGCTCTTCCTCTTCTCCATGAACTGCTTGGTTCCCTTGGCACTGTAAGGCAGGCCATTGTCCTCATGTCACAGAGGAACCCTAAGGTCCCAAAGAATGAAGTAACATTTTTAGACCAAGGCCAAGGAGATTTGGAGAGAGGCTCCAAAGTACAAGGTGTGGTAGATAAAGCAGCTTTGGCCAGACATCTGGGCGAGAGGTAGGAGGCAAGGATGAACCACTGGGTTGCAGTGTCCAGGAATTATAGCAAAGTCTTGGAGTCACCAATTCATGTCACCAAGAGACATGTTTTTTTCAGGTGACAGTCTTTACTCTAACGATCCCCATCTTTTCCCATAAACATCAGTGACCAGCCACATTCAGTATGCCAAGTCAAGTGCCTTCTCTGTATCAGGCCTTGTGCTAGCCGTTGACATGCAGAGTAGATACATTCACTCCCTTGTGGAGTTATAACTGTGGTTAAAGCACTTGCCAGCAATTATGAGGGCCAGAGTTCAGATCCCCAGAACCCATGTGAATGCTGGATGGCTGTGATGACCTACCTATAATTTCAACCAAAGAAGGCAAAGAGCGGGTAATCCCCAGAATGAGCTGATTAGCAAGACTAGCCTATTGACAAGCTCTGGGTTCATTTGAGAGACTTTGCCTTAATAAGGTAGAAGAGCTGTCAAGAATGATTCCCAGCATCAGCTTCCACATGCATGGTCACCCATACACATGTGTCAATATACAAAAACATCACACCATATTCCTAAAGTGGGGGGAGGCCTACATACTGTTTTTAAATCTTACTGGTTTGTAGAATTATAGAATCAGATAATATTCTCACTTATACCATACCCATCTTGTTGAAAAGATGGTCTTTTTTCTAGATCCCTTTGTCTCATTCTTTTTCCCTTCCACCTCAGCAGGGCAGTTGATAAGGAGAGTCTGAGCCGTTCCTTCTCTCCACCCTACCCCTTTCAAGACAACCGGGTCTCTCTCTGTAGCTCGGCTTGGCCTGGAATTACTACATAGTACAAGCTGGCCTTGAACCTGCAAGGTTCCCCCCCCCTAGGTACTAGGATTACAGGCATGTGCCACCATGCCCCAGCTTAAGTTGCTCTTCGAAGCTAAGCTAAATGCAAGAGTCAGTGAGGACCTCTGAGAAGCTCAGGGTCTGCAAGGTTTACATATTGTCCCGACTCTCAGCTCTTCCGCCCTTCCACAGGTGACTATTCAACACACATGGTGGTTCTGGGGTCCTTGCCCCATGAGGGCTGGTGCCCAGTGGCCCAGCTGCAGCTCCAGTCCTGGCTCCACAGCCCTGCTGGTTCTTGCCCCAGCTTGTCTGGGCTTCCCCTGTGATCTCTTGGGCTTTGGCTGTGGAGTTCTAAGTCTGTCTTTCTGCTCAGTCATTGTTCCTGAGAACTGAGATCTCTGAGTAATGAAGACTCAACTTCCGTGACAGTGACAGAAGCCAGGCTTTGGAGTTGAAGGGTCTTAGCTTCTGTCTTGATCCACTCTTCCTTTTCTGAGCTGGGCTCCTTTGAACCAATCTCTTCCCACTTGAGTCTGCTGACTGATAAAATAGAGGGGACGACAATGTCTTTAGATGCTTCAGAAATGGAGGGCTTGTCTGTAGAAACTAGGGTTAGTAGAAACAGAAATGTTAATTGTTCTGGGACACAGCTGCTGTTTTCTCTGAATAGGAAGGGAAACTGCAGTTAGAGCTGGGAGACTCAGGGCCTGGGGCTCCGGAATGTATGTTTCCTGTTCCTTATAGAGAGCTACTCACATCCCCCATTTAGTTCATCTGTTGGCCTTGCTTTGATGGATGTAGGGAAAGTTGGCAGTTTACCTGGCCCCAACCTGATTGCCTGTGGCACCTAAACCCTTAGGCTGGGATCCCTTTGGACTCTGCTATGGGCAGGGAGGAATAAGACTGAAAAGCATGGAAACACCTCCTCACTCCCCTTCCTAAACTGGGAGGGGAAGGCACACTTGAGAATGGTCCCTGGAAGGCCTAGCTACCTGCATGGGCGCAGTCCCTCTGCTGTCTTGAAACATCCCCCACATCCTTTGACTGTAGACCTAGAGTCTCCGTGGGAGAGGAGTCACCAGCCAAGAGTGAGCTAGGCTTCTGGGCTGAGTGCAGCTTTAAACCATTTCTTTCTTTGTTGGTGGGGGAGGGGAGGGGAGGCTCAGAAATCTTTTGGTATGGGTTCCTGAAATTCTGACAGAGGTGTATCCCTCTGCTAACCCCGGAATAGGACACAGGAAGTGGGGCCTTGGTAAACATGTTCATGATCTTCTCTGGGATTCGTGGTTGTAAGGCAGGATCTGTTGGGCAGAAAGATCTCAGATGATCCAAGCTCTTACCAGAGAAAGGCATCCAAAGCTGGAAGCCAGGATTGGAAGACCTCATTCTTGCTCACTTCTTTTCCTTGCTTACTGGTTGTCCCTGGGCAAATTGTTTGACTTCACTGGGCTCCTGTTTCTGCATCTGTAATATGGGGGTGTTTTGGTGCATTGCTTACAGTTACACGATGGTGCTAGGAATCACAAGGACTGTGCCTTGAAAAGAGTGAGCAACACAGGCAGACAAAAGGATTTCTGTGAGGCTGGGTTAAAATTGTTGAGAAAGGAGAGGGGGGCTGTTTCCTTTAACATAGGGCTCATAGGTATGATGGCTTTCTAGGACTTAGGAAAGACTGACTGAAATCCCACCCAGATCAGACTCAAGACTGTGTATGTTGTCCTTGGGAATTGTACTTTGGGGCCATCTCTTCCCTCTGAAACTTCCAGAAATATTCAAAATGTATTTGTCATCAGTATACTTTGCCAGTCTAACCCTGGAGGCTTGTAAGCTGGCTTTGGAGACAAGTCCATGGCTGTTAGCTGCCCTGATCTGGGCTGAGTCAGGGAGAGAAGGCGGTGTTGGGGCAGGTAACACAGGCATAAGGGGGAGGGGTAGATTCCCTAGATTGCCTTCTTTGGGCCATAGCCCCTGGACTTGTGTTTTTCCTAAAAGGTGAGGACCCTTTTAGGGATTACCACACTAACAGCCTTCCCTCAATGTTCTCGTCCCTCATGATGTGCCTCCCTTTGGTTGCTGGCCAGCTCTGCCACCCTCATAGGACATACAAAGCACAGCCTTGTTCTGGGGCCAGCCACCAATCTGAGCTTGGAGGAAGCAGGGCTGAGAACAGAGGTCTTGCAGGGCTGCCTGCCTGCCCTGGCTCCTGGCACTAACTGGCACATAGGTACCCCCTCCCCTCCCCAGGTGCTCTGAGCAGCCAACCCAAGCCAGAGCTCCTGCTTCCTCCAGATTTCTCTTTCCTCCCCCCAAATCCATGGAGTTGACTCTTGCTAATGATACCAGAATCTTAGCCTTGGAAGAGAGCCGATGGCTTTCTAATGATTAGTCTCTGGCCCAGCTTCCTGATGATTTGTACTCATCCTGGGTACAGTTTGTAGGCTGGTCATCATTGTGCTGGGCATGTGGGAGGCTCTGGGAAAGCATTCTCTCTCTCTCTCTCTCTCTCTCTCTCTCTCTCTCTCTCTCTCTCTCCCTCCCTCCCTCCCTCCCTCCCTCCCTCCTTCTCCCTTGTTCTTTCTTCTTAAAATAATGAATCAGGAGGTGGTGGGTTGGAGGTAAAGACCAGGACTCTTCCTTTCTGTGGCTCCTGAAGGCAGACTGTGAAAGACCTTAACTTCTCCTCCCAAGGGATTTTCAAACTGCCCAGAGAATCCCCCATCTGCACGGTCACTCAGCCTGTCTTACTGAGAACGTACTACACACCAGCTACCAGAAATTAACATGTGAATTAAATGTGAACCTTGCCTAGATCTAATGGGTGAGGCAAAAAGAAAATGCATTTCAGTACAGCGAGGAATGGGATATGGTATCGGTAGCTATCAGCTATTGGGTACTTAAGCTAATTTGTTTTTTGTAGTACTGTAGGTACAACCAAGACTGTGTGTCCTAGAGAAGTGCTTCACTGACTGAGGTACATCTCCAGACCCAACAGCCCCTGAGACTGTGTAATACCACAGCAGCTTATGATTTTGTAGATGAGGTCAGCAGGAGTGAAGTCACTGCTGGTCAGCAGTGGGGCTGGGTGGAGCTGAGAAGAGCCAGAGACCTGAGCTTGCGCTTGTGTGCTGAGCCCCCAAGGATCCCAGCACAGGGCAGACACTGGATGCTCTGTGTGTAAGACTGAGGCCTGAGCACTGTGAGTTCATAATTCCCCTCCCCCACCAGCCCCTCCCTGAACCTAACCCCCTTACTCCAGTCAGACACATCCCTTCACACACACCCCACCCCTCTGGGGAAACCCTCCCAAAGCCATATATCACCTGACGATGGCCTCAGTCACTCCTGCTGCTTCTCAGAATCTTCCAGGCGAGCTGCCAGCTTGTCGTCCCACTCAGGCAGGCCCCTCAGGAAACACCTAATCAAGCATTTCTCGAGACCCGCCTTACTCCGAGGGGCCTTGCATAGAGCCTGGGGTGCAAGTACATAACTCAAACTAGTGGATGATCTAAGAGCACATTTGTGTATCTGCATTGGATTTTTTAAGTAGCTGATTTATCTTCCTAATTATGTTTGGCTTTAAGCTAATGTTAAAATGAACTTGCATTAGATAATTTTCACTAATTAACACCAACTTAGTGCAGGGGAAGTCATCCCAGAAGCATGTCTTGGGGCAGAGAAAAGCTGGTCTAGGATCTTAAAAAATTTGTTGTGCCACGTGGTGGTAGCACATACCTTTAATTCTAGTACTCTGGAGGCAGAGACAGGCAGATCCCTGTGAGTTCAAGGCCAGCTTGGTCTCCGAGTGAGTTTCAGGACAGCCAGGGATACTCAGAGAAACCGTGGGGGACGGGGGGGGGGTGTAATTGCCGTGCTTACTCCCCAGGTCATGTATGTTTCTTGATGGTTGAATGAGTTGATTTTGCTCATGTGAGTATATATGTCCTCTCTCTCTGGAGAGTCAGTTTAGGTTAGGTCTCCCGTGTGTGTGTGTGTGTGTGTGTGTGTGTGTGTGTGTGTGTGTGTGTGTGTGTGTGTATGTGTGTATGTATGTGTGTGTATGTGTGTGTGTGTGTGTGTGTGTGTGTGTGTGTCCCCGCATTCAGCCTTGTATCAGTACAGATGCCACAGGATCAGATCAGTAGGAAGTGATCTCCAGTATACAGCAGTGAGCCCTGCCCTGCAGGATCAGAGAAAGGGCTCTGAACTGAAGCTGAGGCAGCTGGAGAGGAAGTAACCTGCCTGGGCACAGTTGGCTTTCAGTGGCTGCCAGTGCAATGAGGGAGCCTCGTGTTTAATGATGTCTAATTAGTGAGCCCAAAGCAATGTAACATGGCTCCAAACAGCTGGGAAGGTAAGGCTGACAAAGCTAGGATGTCCCACCGGTGGGGTGGTGGCAGCCTGGCAGCCACACAGGGAATGAGACCTTGTTGAAACCCTGGATTTGCTTCTGCCTTCTTAGTGGGCAGAATTCACACCCAGACCACATCACTGGCTCCAGAGGGAACCCTGCTTAGGGCATTCACTGTGTGCACATGGAGAGACACTAGCATGGGCCTGAAGGGTAGGCCTGAGCAGATATGAGGGTGCATACTGCACTGGAGACTGGGGCCAGAGAATGATCCTAAATCAGCCTCTGTAAAGATGAAACCAGGACCTAAATGGACCTTACCACGCGGGCTGGGTGCTGACAGTTGAAGTGTAGCCTGCTCTAGTGTTTAGAGGGCAGATCATCTCTGGGAATTCATTGTTAGAGGGGGAAGTAGAAGAAAAAGCTTTGAGTTTCAGGGAATTTGGAACACCTTCAGCTAGTCTGGGGTGCTGTGGCTTGCTTCTGTAGGTAGTTAGGAGTCATGGAGTATTTGGGTAGAGATGGGGCATACTTAGGGTTGTGTTATGAGATTCATATGCAGAAAGAGAGAATGACTAGGACAGGGTAGACTGGTAACTAGTTAGTGCTGAGAACTATGTATGCCATACCCCACCACAGAGGAAGGGTACAGGGAGGTCCTCTGTGGCAGACCATACACAGTTCTGTTCAGGTATGATTGCATTTCCCTTCTAAAGATCATAAAATAGCCACCTTTTCCAAACGGACATCAGAGAAGTAAAGCAACTTGTCTCTATCTCATGGCCAACAAAGAACTCCCAGTTTCAAAGTCTGCTTTCCCTACTATGCTTTTGGACTATGGAGATTTAGGCCAGGGTGGAAGCAAGCAAAAGAGGTTGTGGTTCGGATCAGGGAGTGAGTGCTCTTTGTGTGGTCCTGCAATTTGAGTCCCTCCCTGGAGGGCTGTCTTCATCTGTTTTACCACTCTTATACCAGACTGCCCTGGGTTACGTAAACTGGAAATTTAAAGTGTCAAAACTACTCATCATTCAGATGAGGCCTGTTGCAGTGTTGATAACAAAGGAAGTCCTTGCTATGTACCCAGAGTGCTTTCCACTTCCAAGAGAGTCAGTTTCATACGCTGAAGGTTTCCTAAACTGGGCAGTGAGCTTGCCAGGTTATGGGCACACTCATGTGCCACTCACATACCAGAAGAGCCCTGGGAAGATGTCCCTTTCCCCATAAATGGCCCAAAGCCACACAAGCAGAAAGGCCTTCTGCCTTCAGGCTATATATTCTTTTCCAAACACTAGCCTTCACTCAAGGTGACCAGCCTGCTCTGCACTCTGACCACCTGGGGAAGATAGGCGTGGTGATCCATGGCCCTTTCCAGGACCCAGGTATCAGAATCTCTGGGCTGCGGAACCTACATTCTGGATAGCCTCTCCCCACCCAACCCTCCCACCCCACACCTTGCGTGGCTCCTGGTGATTCTTTACACACTAAAAGCTGATAACTGTGAGTGCTGCCCTGCAAACCTTGACTTCTCAGGGAATAGCAGAGAATGATATTCCACAGTCAGGGGTGTTTGAGTACAGACTATTTGATCAGACCCAGCCTGCATGGCCCTCAGCAGTGGGAAGGGCAGGGCTGCTCTGTGAACCCAGGCAAACCAACCTTCCACTTTATGTTGAATAACCAGATTGGTGGCTATTCTGGGAGGCAGCAGCTGGACCTGTTTGCCCAGCTTCTGCCTCTCTTAACCAGAAGACTAAAGGTGTGGGGAGTTAGCTTTTTAGCAGGTGAATTTAATGATTCCTCATAACTGCACAGGTGATCTTGGGATGTCACAGTCATGACCTTATCCAAACCTCTCAACAGCGCTGCAAGGCACAGACTGAAAGTTGTTCCCAGGCTTAATTAAATAGGGAGCTGGTGGCAAAGCGCACAACCCCCCCTCCTCCCCTTCCTCAACCAAGAGAAGTGGCTTTCACCAGCATACATCTGAGGTCAGCAGGCTGGTCCCATGGCCTTTGGCTTTCCTTCCATAGAGAAGTGGTGAAGATTGTGATCTTACAGGCCCCACAGCCATTTCTGCCCACAGAGCCTTTAGTTCCATGTCATGTTGGCTGGGGAGGCTTGTGGGGAGAATTGTCGGTCTCTACACACCGTCTTCATTGGCATCCTGGTTTTGTGTGCTCTCAGGTGTCCTAGGATTCTGTGGCTTGTTATGTCCATATTTCCTGGGGAGACTGAAGCCCAGTCCTAGAGTCAGAACCCTGAGCTTTAGTCCTAGTTGTCCTGGGACCCCACTGGATGACCTGAATGTGGAAACTAGGCTAATTGCTATCCAAGTCTCTCTCTGACTCTGAGAGATTCTTGAGTTTGAAATATTTCTGAACGTAGGGGCTGAGTACAGTGGCAGCCTGTGTGTGGACATGGTCAAGCAGCCTTGTGGGGGCTGATGTATGGATGCTCTCTGCTCTTTGACTTTGCACTCCGTCAGAGGGAGAAGGCTGCCATTTTATAGTTGCACAAAGGCACTTGCTGTGTGTGCTGGGGAAGGCCCTGCATTCTGTCCTGGTTTCCTCAGTGGCAGAGCTCTCCCCCTTGGTTAAGTATTGTTCTCAGTCAGGGCTGGCTGCTCCTTCAGGATCTTCAGTAAGCAGACTGAAAGCAGAGCCACAGACTTGTGAGCTGTCGCTTAGGCAACAGCACCATTCTCTATGCCCTTGAGGAAGAACTTCAACTCTGTCTTCTAGCAAAACCACCCCACCAAAAATCTTACTCTAAATCTGTTTCCTCTCTTAACCCTGTGAAATAAAGGAAACTGCAAAACCGTAGCCATCTACAGCAAACACAACAGACACACATGTCTCCATTTAGATACGGATAATGCCTTCTTCTGAGCTCTTTGCCAAGTGTGGAGCTTCTGAAAGAAATCTTCCCATGTCCACGTCAGAAGCCCAGCCTGGGAGAGGAGGCGATGACGAGCAGACATTATGCTGGAGTGCCCCGAGCCTTTGTTGTTTGCTTACAATACAGCTGGGCAAGAAGCAGAGTGTGGTTAATATTTCTAAAAGAAGGGACTCGGGAAATTCTCAGGGTTTTAAAAGCTGCAGAGATGCTTCATCAGGTTATGGAAGGTTCAGAAACAGCTTCTGAGCCATACAATATTACACACTCAAGGAGACACTTGTTTGTATCTAGCAATACTTGGTCTTGGTTGTCATTCCTGGGGGGTGATGCTGCTTGTACCTAGTGAGAAGAGGCCCAGATGCTGTTAAATCACCTACAGTGGCACAATGAAGTGCTCCAACTCCAGAGGTCACTAGTGCTTCAACAGAGAGGTCCAGGGTTCGGGTTATTGTAGGTGGTTCTGAATGACCCACAACAAGAGGCAGAGGTGAGGCTTGCCCCACTGATGGGCCCTACCCATGTCAGGTCTCCAAGAGTTTGGACCGCTTTGAGGGTCATGAAACCAACTGATTCATCAACTTTGTTTTAGGCTATGGAGAAGAAATCAGAGGTCAGAAGGGACAGGAGAGACCAACAAAGCTATTCCAGAAGTTAAACAAAAGACAGGGAGTCCTGTGCTAGGGTGACAGTATTCATGGGAACAGCAAGGGATAATGACCCAGAGAGGGTTCATGGGGTACAATGATGGGTGAGGACTGATAAGATTTCTTGATTGAGGAGGAAAAGCCAACAGACTCTGACTTTGTCTGTGACTAGAACGATGTTGAATTTGGACGTTCCTGTGAAGAAGGCTAGGGGATACATCCCAGCAGCCAGCAGCTCTGTGGGTGTGGACATCTGTCAGAGCCTTTTGTAGTCTGGGTCATCTAAACATACAGGGTCTGCAGGGCAAGGCAGAGCCCTCCTCATCTCTGTTCTCTAATGGCAATTAAGGAAAGGAGCTGGAAAGCTAGAAGAGTCATTAAAGTTGAATGGCAGATAGGGCATTCTAGGGCTTCCAAACACCCTCCTTCTACTTTCCCGCCCCTGCTACCTGGGCAGGCTATCAAAGGAGGAGATGATGAGCTGAGGAAACACCCCATGAGGAGTCCTGCAGCATCAGAGCCTCTTTGCCAGTGTGCCTGCTACAGCTTCTAAACAACTGCCAGCTCGAATTAACCTC